GGTGGATGGTGGTGGTCTGAGGGTGGAGGAGGGTGGATGGTGGTGGTGTGATGGTGGAGGAGGGTGGATGGTGGTGGTCTGATGGTGGAGGAGGGTGGATGGTGGTGGTCTGAGGGTGGAGGAGGGTGGATGGTGGTGGTCTGATGGTGGAGGAGGGTGGATGGTGGTGGTCTGATGGTGGAGGAGGGTGAATGGTGGTGGTCTGATAGTGGAGGAGGGTGGATGGTGGTGGTCTGATGGTGGAGGAGGGTGGATGGTGGTGGTCTGAGGGTGGAGGAGGGTGGATGGTGGTGGTCTGAGGGTGGAGGAGGGTGGATGGTGGTGGTCTGAGGGTGGAGGAGGGTGGATGGTGGTGGTCTGATGGTGGAGGAGCGTGGATGGCTGGTTGTGCATGATGGGTGGAGGGTGGTACATGGTGATGATGGGTTTCTGCTCATGGCAAGAGATAGTATCTCATCCTAGGATGAGTAACTCATTCTTCACCACCTCATCCCCATCTCCCCCCACCTCACCCTCCACCAGGACCACACGTACCATTTTCCAGCGCTGTGTATGTCCCAGCACCCATCACCCACCTGGTGGTGCAAACCCATAACCAGGAGTCATCCTGGACTTCTCCCTCCCCAACAGCCTCACACTCAACAGATGACTGCCTCCAAGTGAAGTCTACAACGCATAGTCTAAAGTGAGGGGAAGACTTGCGACCGTAGCTGCAGGTATGAGCGCTGGGCTAACACCGAGCAGCCATCTGGCTTGTCTGTACCAGTTCCCTCAGCTGAAGATGCACCTGCAGCACAGGGCTGTGAAGGTTAAAGGAGTCATATTCGTACAGCACCCATAAGAAGTCCCTGCACCTGTTAAATGCATTCAATACATGTTTCCTTCTAACTCTAAGAATCACCTGAGGAACTCCACACAACTATGGAGTTCCAGGTTCAGCCCCTGAGGATGTGGGTCCACCAGCATGGATGGGGGCTAGGTACCCGGGGTGTAACACACTCCTCAGCAGCAGAGGAGAGCGGCCGAGCAGGAGCTCATCGCTGCAGGACTAGTCCCATGTCAGAAAACGGAGACATGTTTAAAAGCCTTCTGGTGTTGGGAGCGTGTTATAGGAGCCCCATGCAGGTGGCGGTCTGCGTGGGTGCACAGTGGGGCCCACACACAAGGATCCTCTTGATTCAAGTAGGCTCTGCTGTTCCACACCTCTCCTCCCTCTCCAGGAGGGCTCCACTGAAATGCCAGGGCATCTGAAAGCACCCCAATACTTCTGAGAGGCCCCAATGCCTCTGAGAGCACCCCAATACCATCCCGATCCCCATGGAGAGCTGTCAAACTCAGGTCAGGTGCAGTCTGGGGATTTGGGGACACACTTGGTGGTCACTATACCCTCACTTTGAAGGACAGCTCTGAAGCCATTTTCCCATGTGAGCTCATGGTGTGAAGCTCCTCTACACGTTGACAGGGTTGGGGGGGGCCCTCAGGCAGCTCATCCCTGCCATAGGGGACTCGGGGGGCCGGTCCAGGGCACGGGGGATAAGGGAGGCCCGTCCAGGGCACTGGGGACGCCACCACCAGGCCAGCCAGGTACCCACTGCCACCTCCCAGGGCTGCTCAGCACAAGCCAAAAAAGCCCGGCCAAGAATGCTGGCAGGCACGCTGGCTCAGAGCAGAGAGCCCGGGGGAGATGCCGCACACCTAAGAGAACGGGGCCCCGCCCAACAGAGGCAGAGAAAATGGAGAAAACACCCATTTCAGTACCTACCTATGATGGAGTCCCTCCGGAAAACATCTCTATCAAAGATGTAAAAGGACAGGTGCCGAAAGCTCCGAGGGATCTCGCAGTAGAAGTCTTCTCCGTAGAAGGGGCTGGGAAGCAAGCACAAGGGCTCTGTCAGGTGAGTCGGGCAGTGCGGGCACGCGCACGGAATCACGCTCTCACACGGATCACCGACACGCCACATCGTGTTTCATGCGTGAGATGTGGAACTGGGGTTCGCTCATGGGGCTACCAGCACGGTCCCCGCTGTCAGCCCCAAGGCCCGTCACCCCGAGGGAGTGGCCCACAGTGAGAATGACGTCTGCTGTGTGTGTCCGGGCTGGACCCAAGCTCCAGGACCACGGGGACACTTGGAATGTGCAGGGCAGTGGTTGGCAAGCCTCACTTCACACGTGTCAGTCAAACCCAGCGTGCCGGCTTCAGACCATGCTCTCTTTCCCCAGAAGTCGGGGTGAAATCACACCTGTCACTGGGGAGAGGATCCCTGCCCACTGACTGACCCTCCACACGGACCCTGCACATGAGTCCCTGCGCACAGAGACCCAGCTTGAACTGCAAACCTAGTCGAGGTCATGAAACAGCCCCCCAACTGCTCAGCTGGGCTGAGATGAGTCCACACACGTGGTCTGCAGCTAGCGGACCTGCGCTGGAAACGGCAGGGCACCCGACAGTCTTCACCGGGTACAAGATGGTCAGCAGCTCACTGCAGCACACACACCTACAGCCGAGGTCCAAAGTAGGAAACGCGATCAGTCAGGAAAGCGAACGGGGTGTGTTGTGTCGCTTAGAAGAGGAGGAACGTACACTCCTGCTCAAGCTGGAATAACAGTGCAGAAGGTGGACAGTGTGGGACCCGCAGCGGAACCTCACTGCGAGGGACCCGGATGCGTCCCCAGAACAGAGGGAGGAGGGCGGGGTGGCTCCCAGCTCCAGTCCATATTTTATCCATTCTGAGATGACCCCCCCACCACGTCTGAGCATCTCTGAAATCAGAATGCACGCCACAGTGTCAGGACAGTCCATACTTTAATTAGCTCTGTTCTTTCTCAGTGGCCAGAAGATGACGGTGCCTCTCCATCTGACCAATGCCACAGCTCCCTAGAATAGTGTTTTTGGTGGCATGACGGGGGTCACCCCATGGGTCTGCTTCCCACCACTGCCCCATCAGCAAATAGTAAACTCTCCTTAGACACAGGCACGTGATGTGTCAGTCAAATAGCCCAGCTGCTGAAGCACACACATTTCATCTCTGTAGCTCAGGATCAGCTCAGCACGGCCCAGTGAGAGCCCTGGGAAGATGGAGCAAATGCACCGCTCCCAGGGCAAGAAAGAGACGCCCCCCACCCCCCGCCCCATGAGGAAACCAGATGCAGGGCAGGTGCTGAGCTCCATGCCAGCACACCAGGCTGGAGATGCACCAGCCCCTGGGAGCAAGGGTGTGGGCAGGTATCTGCCCGTTCTACAGGCTGCCTGAGTCCCACCCCAGGCTCATGTGGCCAGGCAGGGAGAGGGAGCCAGGTTCGGGGCTGGGTGCAGCCCAGACCAGGCAGTGGCTGAGGAGGATGGTCAGGCCTTTGAAATATGGAAAAGGTCTCCCCCTCAAGCAGCAATGTATCCACGGTATGTAGCCAGTGCAGGCCGACCTGCAGACAGGCGGGGCACAGAGGTGCTGGGATCATCCTGTCTCCTCCAGCCAGCAGCTGAGAGCCAGCCCAGGCGGGTGGGGACAGGGAAGACGTGAACTGCCACAGAGGAGCCACGTTGGTGGGACCTGCCTGAGCCCTTCTCCGCAGACACGGCACTGCAGTGGCCTGGAGTGTGCAGAGTGGACCTGCCGGGTGGGAAGATGAGGACCTGAGGTGGAAGCTGGTGGTCCCAGCAGGGCCAAGGGTTTTGGGGTGCCAGAGGGAATAATCCAGAAGCACCGAGGCAGGCAGGGGCCTGGGGTCTTGAAGGACCAGGCCACGGGGAGACAGACAACCACCAAGAAAGCAAGAGCCAAGGGGAAGGCATTCTAGCCACCCAAGAGATCTGCCTCACAGCAAAGCAGAGTGTGCTCAACTCGGGAGCTGCCCTTAGGGATACCCGAGAGGCTGAGCATGTTTTACGCACTCACTGAACAAGACC